ACTGAGGACCACACGTTGCATTTGATGGGTACGCCTCCCACGTCCCTCTAGTCCAGAAGAGGTCTGTCCAGTATCCCCACCCCATTTCTGTTATATTCACTTATCAAGGAGACCAGACTGCTTGTCCTATAGAAAGTCACTTGTCTGGAATCTTCTGATGCTTATTTCTACAAGGTATCATTTAACTTTTCCAGGACCTCTTTATTTCCTGTAAAGTAGAAGTTCGATTTCTGAAGATTCCGTTAGACTCACATTCAGTATCTCTGTCCAAGCTATTTCCTTGATGATTCCACATGCTTCGCAGTCCCTTGGGTTGGGAGGTACTGAGTATTTGGTCCCCTGTGGTGGTTCACTGGTTTCATGTGGTGGAAGCTGGATCTTCATCATAAAGTTAAGTTCAGGAGTTACTTACCTAACGATTTCAGCATCCATTGATGACCCTTGCCTGAATCAGTGTTTTCATTAGGTGTAGATGATCTTTTAGCTGTTTTTGAAAATGTGGTATTAGTTAGCCAATACTAATTCATTACTAAATTTGACTAATGTTAGTTATATATTCTCTCATTATGTTTATTTGCATCTTGCTCTGTTTAGGGGCAGTTCTAGGTAATCGAATAAGGAACCTTACCCTCAGGGAATTTTCTAATATACATTCTTGGTGGATTGTTTACGAATTTTGTTATGCATTCCAGTTTCATCATACCTCAGATATAAATTAGTGTTTTCTTAGTTGAAGTAAAATAGTGCTCATGATGATTTTTTAGATTTCAGTCAGTGTTTAACAGTAACCTAGGCTACAATGGTAGAGCACATCCTTTTTACATCTGGATAACCCACTTCTGTTTGCTTCATGGACTGTGACCCTTAATAAGCTGCTTCCTGGGGCACGAGTACATAGGGGTCTGTGCCGCCGTGAAACACGACGATGTCGCTCTTCATTTCATGAAACAACACCTCTTCGAGCAGGATGTAACGTTAGTAACTCGCTCTTACTCCCTTCACGTATAGAAATGTTATGTTACGAAATAAGATGTGAGAACTTGCTGGTTTCTCCCCCATCTTCTTTTATACAGAAGGACATTCTGACTCCGGTTCAGGCACAAATAGCTAGAAACCTGGAGCTGGATCATTGCAAGTTTGGGAACCACTTTTCCATCCCTAGTAACTGAAAGTGTGTCTTACCATGGGCTCTGCGGGTGTGAGACCCAGCAGTGAAGGACCCAGGGGCTCTTGTGCCCCTCCTTTCGAATCACCCCCCTGCACCCGTTTCCAGAACCACAGGTGCCTCACCAGGGTCCTCCCGGGAGTAGCTCTCATCCCTAACCATCCTGTGCCTTGCTCAGAGCTAGGAGCAAACGTCGGGCCCTGTCCCTCCTCAGATACGGCTGCCAGGTGAGAAAGACCCTGATTCCTTTGTAGGAGGAAAGACCCCGATTCCTCGTAGGAGGAAAGGCCCCGATTCCTCGTAGGAGGAAAGGCCCCGATTCCTCGTAGGAGGAAAGGCCCCGATTCCTTGTAGGAGGAAAGCGTCATAGAAGGGAGAAGGCCCAGCACCGGAAGGAACAGGGAAGGTGCAGACGAGGGAAAGTGAAAACCATCTTGTGGAATGGAAAACTTTGATAGATGATGACTGATTTTTAAAAAATATTGTTTCTTTATTGATTTTAGAGAAAGAGGAAGGGAGAGGGAGAGAGAGAGAGAAACATCGATGAGAGAGAACATCGATTAGCCACCTCCTGCATGCCCCCCATTGGGGATTTGGCCCACAACCTGGGCACATGCCCTGACCGGGAATCGAATCGGTGACCTCTTGGTGCATGGGTCAACGCTCATCCACTGAGCCACACCAGCTGGGAATGACTGATTTTTTTAAAGGGCAATTTTCCTGACAGTACATTCTTTCCGAAAGAGCATGGCATCTGAATTCACATAGACCTGGGGTAAATGTTTATATAATTACTTACAAGCTGTTTGTTTTAGGGAAGTTCTTTAACTAATCTCAGCTTCTATTAGCTCGTGTGGAGGATAGTCATATGACACCTCTTAGATTTGTCCTTCAGGTGAAAAGAGTAACATTCAGGAGCCACCAGTTGGTGCAGTGCCTGGCACATAACACTGAACATGTCCCCTATTGGACTTGTCACCAGAGCACCTGCCACACCTAAGACACCTTCCTTGCAGTGGATTGAATGATTCTCCTGAAGGTTGATGTGTTGGGACTTAATTGGGTGCTGTTCATTTTTGCCCCCAGATAGTACAAGCTTTAAGCAAGAGAGAAAAAAAAAAAAAAAAGAATATTCACAATAGTATTATAAGTGGGGGCTTAACAATAAACTTTCCTGGTGTTATAACTCACTACTAGTATTATTACATTGTGTGATTTAATTATAAATGGAACTATTATGCCTTTGTTTTTATATTGAATGATAGAATTTATTTTTAAAAGAATAAAATTAGTATTTAAAAGTGGTAGAGGTTGAAATAAAAATTTAATCTTTTGAATAAAATACAAATACATGATACCCAAAACAATTCTTTTTGGTATATAGCTTTTGATCTAGCATGTTGCAGTTTCTTTAATCAGCGGTCAGGTGTACAGAGAAAGTACAGCTTTGAATCAACTTGGTTGTCCATGGTTCAGGTTGGTGTAAAATAAGCAGAACGTTTGAAATTTAGTTTGTAGTGTAACTTGTTCTGGTGATTTTGAAGTAGTATAGCTATCTAATTTAAAGACTGATGTAACAAATACGTCACTGAAAAATATTCACAAGTTATGATAAAATAAAAGCCACCTGGCATTTTATGTAAGACACTTGCTTTTCTCGTGTGTATTAAATGGTTCGAGAAATCATAGACTATCATTTGATTAGCTTTTTAGTATCTCTATCTGAAGTTTCTACTTTTGGTTTTAAATTTTAAGTTGGCCTAGCTTGAATTGGGCATCTTTACATAAGTGACATCTCATCGCCTTTGCCATATTCTGTTGGTTTTTATTGGTTGGAAGCAAGCCACAGGTCCTGCTTCCACTCAGAAGGATGGGATGATGCGAAGATATGACGCGGGGCAACCTTAGACCACGTCCCCCACGCACACACTCACGAAGCCGTAGAGAGCTGACACGTCGTGTGGGAACTCTCTGAGAGACCACGTCCCCCACGCACACACTCACGAAGCCGTAGAGGGCTGACACGTCGTGCGGGAACTCTCGGAGAGACCACGTCCCCCACGCACACATTCACGAAGCCGTAGAGGGCTGACACGTCGTGCGGGAACTCTCAGAGAGACCACGTCCCCCACGCACACACTCACGAAGCCGTAGAGGGCTGACACGTCGTGTGGGAACTCTCGGAGAGACCACGTCCCCCACGCACACATTCACGAAGCCGTAGAGGGCTGACACGTCGTGCGGGAACTCTCAGAGAGACCACGTCCCCCACGCACACACTCACGAAGCCGTAGAGAGCTGACACGTCGTGTGGGAACTCTCGGAGAGACCACGTCCCCCACGCACACACTCACGAAGCCGTAGAGGGCTGACACGTCGTGCGGGAACTCTCGGAGAGACCACGTCCCCCACGCACACATTCACGAAGCCGTAGAGAGCTGGCACGTCGTGTGGGAACTCTCGGAGAGACCACGTCCCCCACGCACACACTCACGAAGCCGTAGAGAGCTGACACGTCGTGTGGGAACTCTCTGAGAGACCACGTCCCCCACGCACACACTCACGAAGCCGTAGAGAGCTGACACGTCGTGCGGGAACTCTCGGAGAGACCACGAGAGGGGCCTGTGGTTCTGCTCTCAGATCTGGACATAGCCAAACACTGCAGAACAAGGCACAAATAGATCTAAAACATCCCAACCCAAGACAAATGTTCTGTTTTTCTTTTAATTTAATTTTTGTATTTTAACATACTGATCTAGAATGTGAATGTTTTCATTATTAAAAAAAGAATAATTCAGTGTGATTCATTGTGACCAAGGTCCCATAAAGACAGAAATGGTAGTTGTTTGTTGCTAATGATAGAGATGGGACAAAATAGACAAGCCCTGATAAAACAGTGTTGAATTTTTCAACCAGGGCTAAACTATTTTCTTTCGGAAGAGCAGTATGAGTAGACAAGCCTACTGTACTTTCTCTTTTCCAATCCCGTGTACCCTTCCAAGCCAAGTTCAGTCCAGTCGTGATAATAGCTGACAGCGACATTGCTGATGATGTAGTGAGTCACACACTATGCTAAGGATTACACTGATGCATTACTAGTCACCATGCCAGTTTTATGATATAGGTACTCTTACTGTTTCTCCTTTAATGGTTGAAGACCAGAAGGGTTCATTAACTTGCAAGGTTGCATTGTTCATGGTAGGGGGGAAAATTGAATCCAGACACAGTGGTGTTGGAACCCATACTTTTGCCACTACACATGGTCCACACTGTGGTCCTGTTCTTTGAAGTCTTCCTAGATACTCCCTGACAGAAGTCACCGGTTTTTGACTGACTGGCTCAAGGGGCTGTGATTATTAAGAGTTATAGACGGTGTGTACTATCAAAAGGCTTATAATCTAGGTAGAGAGATAAGGATGCCTTCTTAAAATGATAAATAATAATATAAGATAGTCTGTGCTACGTGAAAAACTAGGGATGCACTAATAAGTCATGAGAACATGTGGGGGACATGGGAGTAGTCCGGGTAGGACCAGGTTGTTATAAAAGGCTTCATGGAAGGAGCAGGCTGTGGTCCGGACCTTGAACAACAGGTATTCCTTGGACTGTTGGTAGTTACATGTGGCTTGGGGTACAGTAAGGGGCCAGCATTCCAGACGGCAGAGGCATCGCTACTGGACAGAGCAGCAGGATGTATTCGGGGCAGGTTATTTGGTCCACAGAATGCGGTGCGGGCACAGTGCTTTTGTTTAGAATACAACTCTGTGGTTCTCCGCTGTTTATGTCCTGGTTTAAATGTAAGTGTATTCAAAGAGACATTTTATTTTATTACTAGAATGCCAGTTAATGAAAACAGAGCGACCAAAGCCAAACACATTTATCATCAGATGTCTCCAGTGGACCACTGTTATAGAGAGAACATTTCATGTAGATACTCCAGAGGAAAGGTAAGAAAGTCTTTTTTTTCCATTTTGTTAAAAAGCAACAGTCAATCTAAAAATCTATGTGTGTCTGACCTCACCATTGGTAAATATGCGTGAATATATTTGTAACATGCTGTAGTCCCTTAATTATTATTATCCTGGTGCAATCGATGAATAACTTACAAAATACTACATCCGAACATCTAGAAATGTGTTAAGATACACTTCTTAAGAAAAAACAGCGTTAAAAAGTTAAAATATAAATTAAGACATTTTTATAACCCAACTGCCTCTTTTAAAAGAATTGTAGAGCCCTGGCCGGTTTGGCTCAGCGGTTAGAGCGTCGGCCTGCGGTCCTGAGAGACCCGGGTTCAGTTCCCGCTAAGGGCGCGTACCTCGGTTGCAGTTTGTGCCCGGCCCTGGTCGGTTGTGTGGGTGGCAGCCACTCGATGTGTCCCTTTCACATCGATGTTTCTCTCTCTCTCTCTCCCTCTCTCTCCCTCCCACTCTACCTGAACAAAAAATGGAAAAATGTCCTCGGGTGAGGATAAAAAAAAAAAAAATGAAAAAAAAAAAAAAAAAAAAGAATTGTAGAATCGTGTTTGTATTTAGAATTCCGACGCTAGAAGTAGCAAGAGGTTTCAGTAGCCATTGTGCAGAGAGGGGGTTGGGGCTCAGTGAGGAAGAAGGACCAGGACTGGTCGGCATCGGGGGTCATCGCTGCAGAAGCCGGAGTGCGGTGCATTTCCACCAGCTCCCCAGCTCCCTCGGGGCTGCATGTTCACCCTCCCGATCTACTAATACTGGGCACGCCCCAGCCCCAGTTCTGTTCAATACCCTTTCATCTGGTGCCTCTGATACTGACTTAGGTCCAACCACCACCACAAATCCATTTTCCTGCACATATGTTATCATATTGGACTCAGATCAGCAACTCTGTGAAATTAAATGTTTTTAGCCTATTTTCCAAATGAATAAATTAGTTCTTAAGAAACTTGTGCAATTAAAAAAATAACACAACCTCCCCCCAAAACTTTATTTTAATAATACTTTTTTGATCAATGAACAATAAATGGTAATTAATGTTTTATTACTTCAGAAAACATAGACAAGAAAGAAAAATAGAAAAGAACTAGAAATTACTCATAATTCTGATTTTATCACTAGAGTTAAGGACTGATATGTTCTTACCCACTTCCAGTCTTATTCTGTGAGATGTATGTAGGTCTTCTGCATACATACCATTTTATATGCCCTCCCTCCACACTTACCCATCACTCCTGGGCATTTCTATATACTGAGTCCTCAGTTTGCTTATATCTTAACCCATAACTATGGTTGGGCTAATTCCTATGTATATTTCAGTTCTAAGCTTAACATGTTACATATGCTACAAAACTTCTGACTCTTATAGATGTAGGTCCCCCTGCTATATACTTACCTATCTCCTTGTACCTTTCACATCACGTATATCACTGCTGTAATCTTTGTTTGCCTTATTCAGTGGACTATAAGGTTCTTGATTGGCAAGGATGAGTTCTTCCTGTTTTATTTTTAGCACGTATAGTATTTGTTGACTTGTTGAATGAATGGAACTTTTTCCATGGCAATATATGTTCTTTGAAAATATTAGTCTTCATGGATTTATAACATTCCATTTAACCTGATTCATTTTGCCTTTGTGTTTACTAAGCTGGACTTAAGCCATATCTTAAGACTTTGAAATGGTTTGCTGTCCCTGCAATAATATCATACTACGTTTCTGGATAATCAGTTTTCATTTGCGTTTATTACTAGAAGAAAGCAGTTTTAGTGAAAATGGAAAACAGCATATTTATATTTGCATTAGGGTTTGTTTTTCTGAATTCACCTAGAATCTGCTGTTTGGATATTTTATATGATTTTAATGTTAATGAAGATGTAGGCGTATTGAGATTTAGAAAAACTCATTATCTTCTATATTCTGTCTTCCAGTCTAAAATTCTTCCTTACCTGTTGCAAATTCAATATCTCTAATCTATCTTTAAAAATCTTGAATTTATTTCATTATATTATATAAGTTTGGAATCTCTTTTTTCCAAAAAACGAGCCTGTTGTCTCACCTCCATTTATTGAATAATCCATTCTTTTCTGATTAAGGATGGCACATATACATAAATACTTGTATTTTCAGGTTTTTTTCCCTTTGCTTTTCTGTCATTCTGGTACTAGGACCACATGGTTTTAATTAGAGAAGCCTTATAAAACTTTTAGCTTTTAATAAAGCAAGCCTTCTGTTATTGCTGCTTTTCAAAATGTTCTTAGTTTTTCTACTACATTTTTAAAATTGTGGTTTAAAAACATAACATGGAATTCATCAAGTTTTGAAGTGTATAATACAGTATTATTAGCTATATTTACAATACTGTATAATAGATCTTTAAAACTGTTCATCCTACATGACTGAAACTCTGTACCCATTGCCTAGCAGCTCCCCATTTCCCTCTCTCGGCCCCTATCAAACATCATTCTATTTTCTGCTTCTATAAATCTGACTACCTTAGCTATCTCGTGTAAGTGAGAATATACAGTATTTGTCCTAATGTGACTGGCTAATTTCACTTAGAGTAATGTCCCCAAGGCTCATTCATACTGTAGCGCATAACATGATTTTCCTCTTTTGTTAAGACTAAATAATATTCATTCCTATGTTTATCCCATATTTTCTTTATCCATTCATCTGTCAGTGGACATTTAGTTTTTTTGTTTGTTTGTTTTTATGTCTTGGCTATTTTGAATAATGTTACAGTTAACATAGGAGTGTAAATATATCTATTTGAGATCATTTTATTTTATTTTGGCTAAATACCCAGAAGTGAGATTGCCGGATCTTACGGTAGTTCTATTTAAAAAAAAAAAATTTTTTTTTTTTTATCCTCACCCAAGGACATTTTTGCATTTATCTTCCGATAGAGCGGGAGGGAGAGAGGGAGGAAGAGAGAGAGAAGCATCAATGTGAGAGAGATACATTGAGTGGTTGCCACCCACATGTCCCCAACTGGGGCAGAGGACAAACTGCAACCGAGGTACATGCCCTTAGCGGAAACCAAACCCGGGACTCTCTGGTCCGAGGGCTGACGCTCTAACTGCTGAGCCAAACCGGCCAGGGCTGTTTTTAATTTTTTGAGAAACCTCCATAGTATTTTCCATAGTGGCTGCACCATGTTACATTCCCATATCAGTGCATAGGAGTTTCAGTTTCTCCACATTCTTGCCAGCACTTGGTATTTTCTATCAATGGTAGTAGACTCATGTGCAACCATATAAATAATTACATTAAATATGAATGGTTAAACATTTCAATTAAAAGGCAGAGAGTTTCAGAATTGATGAAAATACAAGGCCCACTTATGTGCTATCTTTAAGAGATGCACTTTAAGACACAGGTCAGTTGAAAAGAAATTGATTGAAAATGATATGCAAATGGTAAATATAAGAAGGAGATTTGCTATATTATATCAGATTACAAAATAAAATAATTACTTGTGAGTACCAGAGCACTTTATAATGTTAAAAGGGTCAATTGAAGTCTATGATGTAACAATTATGAATATGTTTGCATGCAATAACAGAATCAAAAGAGAAAATAGACAGTCCCACTACCATAGTTGAAGACTTTAAAATTCTTTTCAGCAATGGATAAAGCAGCTAGACAAAAAAATCAATGAAGATACAGAATAACACTATCTATTAATCACCTTGATGTAATTGATATTTACGTAATACTACACCCAAAAGTGGCAGAATACACTTTGTTTTCGAATGTACATGATACATTCACCAGGAAGATCATATTCTGAATCATAAAACACTCCTTAATATATTTAGAAAGATTGAAATTTTACAAAGTATGGTCTCGTCCCTCAGTAGAATTGATTAGAAATCAATGCTAATAAGAGAATCGAAAATCTCCATGTATTTGAAAATCAATTAACATACTTAATAATCATTGGGTCAAACATAAAATTCATAAGAGGCATTAGAGACTAGTTTTAAATGAATGATAATGAAAACAAAGCATATCAAAGTTTGTAGTATGCAGTGAAATTAGTGCTTAGAGGGAAATGTATAACCTTGAATGCCCATATTTGAAAAGAAGGAAGTTCTCAGGTCAATAATCTATGTTTCCATCTTGAGAAACTAGGAAGGTAGAGTACATTAAACCCAAGACAAACAGAAAGGAAATGATAGAGACCAGAAATCAATGAACCTGAAAACAGAAAAATAACAGAATAATCAATAAAACAAGGCTAGTTTGTTGAAACAAAATTAATAAAATGGGACCATCTTGGAATGTTATTAAAGAAAATAAAAGAGAATACAAGTTACCAATACTGACCCTAGAAAACTTGAACAATACAATATCAGTGAACAAAATTTAATTAGTAACTAAAACACTTTTTTTTTTTTTCAAAGAAAATTCCAAGTCCAGATAGCTTTGTTGGTGTGTTCTGTTAAACGTTTAAAGAATTATTACCAATCCTACAAAATCTATTTCAGAAAATAATGGAGAAGAGAACACTTTCTAATTAATTTTATAAGGCCACTGTCACCCTCATTTCAAACACCAGGCTAAGAAGAGAGAACCATAAGCCAGTATACTTGTGAACATAGGTGCCAAATTTCTTAACAAAATTTTGAAAAATAGAATTACAAAATATGTAAAAAGGATATACACCATGACCAAATGGAGTTAATCCCAAGAATTCAGTTGCATTAACATCTGAAAATCATTCAACTAAATTGACTATATTAATAGGATAAAGGAGCAAATCTACATGATCATTTCAACAGATGCAGAAAAAATATTTCACAATATTCAGCACCGTTTTATAACAAAAACCCTGTTGAATAGAAAGAAAAGGGAACTTATTCAACTTAAGGGTATTCACAGCTTATGCAATTTTCAAAGGTAAAAGGCTCAATGCTTTTTCTCTAGGATCCGGAACAAAGAAAGAATGTCTACTCTCACCACTTTTATTTAACATTGTACTGATGATCTGATCTAGGGTGTTATAAGACAAGAAAAATAAAGAAAAGACAAACATATTAGAAAGGAAGAAGTAAGACTGCCCTTACTTGTAGACAACATGGCTACCTATGTAGAAAATCCAGAAAAATAAAAGCTGCTAGAATTAAGAAATGAATTTAGTAAGTCTGCAGGATAAAAGGTCAACATACAATAAATGACTGAATTTCTAAATACAAGTAAGAAAAATGAAAAATTAAATTTATAAAACCCTCCACAATAAAAGAATACTTAGAAATAAATTCAATAAAAAGGTACAAGACCTTTTTACAGAAAATTATAAAATATTGCTCTGGGAGGTTAAAGACCTACATAAATGCAGAGCTATACCATGTTCATGGATTGGATGGCTTCATTTATTAATATGGTAATTCCTGGCTGGTTTGGCTGAGTGGTTAGAGTGTCAGCCTGTGGACCAAAGAGTCCTGGGTTAAATTCTGGCAAAGGGCACATACCTCGGTTGTGGTCCGGCCCCAGTTGGGGTCCTGCAGGTGGCAACCAATCGATGTGTCTCTCTCACATAGATGTTTCTCTCTCTCCCTCCCTCCCACTTTGTCTGAAGATAAATGAAAATATCCTCGTGTGAGGATTAAATAAATAAATAAATAAATAAATGGTGATTCCTTCCAAATTGATCTATAGATTTAATGCAATTCCATTGAAAATTCTAACGGACTTTAAGAAATCAACAGGCTGATTTTAAAATTTGTATGGAAATACATGATCCTTGATCTGATGAGACAATTGTCGAAAAATAAAAGCTTTATACTAGTGCTTGAGAGACTTTTTATTTAAGCTATACTTTATGCCTATCATTTATTTAAAAAAAGAAATTTATCCATGATCTGGGAACAGTGAAAGGTTTTGGCTTTGAAAACCTTTTCTTAGAACTTTTTTTGGACCATAGTAAAGATCTTGAGTGTGTCAATGATGGCCTTACAATAGCTAAACAAAACATTTAAAACGTGCAGCAAATTTTTGGGGGTCAATTTACTTTATAAGTAAAATGTGAACAGACAGTTAAAATGTAACTGTCCTTTTAAAGGATTTTAACTGAATTTTTTTATAATCCGCTTTTTCTTTTTCTTGTTTAACATACTTCCAAATAAATGCTACTATAAACTTTAAGCTGTAATATAAAATACCTTGGGATTAATTCCACCTTGGAAGAGGGTGGGAGAATATGTTTATGTGTGTGCGTGTGCGTGCATGTGTGTATGTGTGTGTGTGATCCTGGAGCAGACTTTATTTGTTTATATTTCATATTTTATAAAAGAGATATTTGGATTGTTTACCATCCTCCATTAATGAGAATTTTTACTTGATTTGTAGGGAAGAATGGACAGAAGCTATTCAGGCTGTAGCAGACAGACTTCAGAGGCAAGAAGAGGAGAGAATGAATTGCAGTCCGACTTCACAAATTGATAATATAGGGGAGGAAGAGATGGATGCGTCTACAACCCATCATAAAAGAAAGGTAGGAAAGAATAACTTCTTTCCCAACTTAGTACATTGATGTGTATGGAAGAAATATGCTAAAACTGCTTTTGCAGAAAACGTCAGCCTGTTATGGGTGTGGTTGGTTTTATTCAGGTGAATCAGAAATACCTGCGATTGTTCAAAACCACCTGGATGAAGCGTCACTTCATTTCAGTGACTCAGCACTTAGCCCTGGACGCTGTTAGGGCTTGTTCAGCAGTGGTGGCTGATGTGCTACTTTCTAACTTGCATTTTCTCTTATTGTTTTAAATGCCATCTTGGAAATTTGGAAATAAAATGTTTTCCCTAATGATTCGGTCCTTTTCCATTTGGCGTCCCGTGTGCTCCTGAGAGCCCCCGCTGCCAGGCCCTGGGTGCTGCCCTCCGGGCCGGCCTCGCTCGCGTCAGCAGCAGGGAACGGTCTTGGAAATAATCGTAGTTTATTCTGGGGAATCTCACGAGCCAGTGAGGAAAGCAGACTTCTCCTTCCCTCGGTGTTTCACAATAATAAGCACGAATTTATATATTTATGGGAATTGTAAATTACGTTTCTCATTGCTATAGAAAATTGAAAAGCAACTTCCTTATGAAAAAAAATGGTATTTTAAGATTAATCTAAAGCTATTGGTGTTCAAAATAGATGAACATGCCATTTGTCATCTTAAAATATATTTTTATAATAGAGTATAAGTTAATTTTCAGGTAGGACAACACTGATTTTTAAGGTGATTATCCATGTACCTTCGTATTAGCGCCGTGAACTCGGGTGTTGGGCTGCCTGAGTTCAAAGCCTCCCTCTTCTACACGCTCAACGTGAAGGAAGTGATGCACAGTCACGACTCAGAGTTCATTACGTCTTTCTTCTTTGCTTAGAATCACATTCTGTGTTTGATCTTGGCCAAATGTCCGAGAACCTTTGTGTTTTTCTTGAGGACTTACCCCTCTCTTTGGTGGTCCATCGGAATCCCTTTTTACTTTTCTGTGTCAGTTATCATAAAGAGAACTGTAGGAGTTCAGATTACTTAAAAAAAATTTTTTTTTCTTTCATTGATTTTTAGAGAGAGAGGAAAGGAGAGGGAGAGAGAGAGATAGAAACATCGATGACAGAGAACACCAACGGGCCACCTCTTGCCTGCCCCCCACTGGGGATTGGTCCCACAACCTGGGCATGTGTCCTGACCGGGAATCGAACTGGCGACCTCTTGGTGCATGGGTCGGCGCTCAACCACTGAGCCACACCAGCCGGGCTCAGATTACTTTTCATTTCAGACTGTAAACATCGATATCCTGAAATGAGAAATCCTCCTCATCATTTACAGAGCACAGTTCCTTCTTTGTTCACTCACCGAGAACTGTGCGGTGGGATGAAGGGAACCGCCACGGGTTGCGGTGGCCGTGCTCCGCCCTGACTTAGCTGCTCCCCTGCCTGGGCAGACAGACGCTTGCTGCCCTCAGAGGCTCAGTGATGCCACAGTACCTGCTCTGCAGGCCCACATCTCTGCCGGAGGGACAGGCGCGGGCGGAGGAGAACAGAGCACGGCCTCGTGACCAGACTTACGCACTGCTCTGTATTTAAACCAACAGGTGATAGTTCACAATTTGCCTGGCGGACTCAGAGGTGCCTAATCTTGGTCTGCCAAGCTGCCGTTTATTCTTGAGATGTCCCTGTCAGGCTGTGAAGGGACACAATGTAAAGGGAGCCACAGCCAAATGAGAACCAGTTTTGCTTAATTTTTTATATTTTATTAATCATCACACCAGGTTTTTATTGATTTTAGAGAGAGGAAAGGAGAGAAAGAGAGAAATGTCTATGTGACAGAAAAACATTGGTCATTTGCCTCCTGTAGGAATCCAACTGGGGATCGAAACCACAACCTAGGTATGTGCCCCGATTGGGAATTGAACCAGCCACCTTTTGGTGCACAGGACTACACTCCAATCAACTGAGCCACTCAGCTAAGGCTTGCTTAATTTTTTTTTTTTTTAATTTTTTTCTTTATTGATTTTAGAGAGGAAGGGAGAGGGCGAGAGAGAAACATCAATGAGTGAGAACATCAGTTGGTCGCCTCCTGCATGCCCCCACTGGGGACCCGGCCCACAATTTGGGCACGAGTCCTGACCGGGAATCGAACCAGCGACCTCCTGGTGCATGCGTCAACGCTCAGCCACTGAGCCACACTGGCTGGGTGGTTTGCTTAATTTTTAAGTGACCAATGTAGGCTTCTTGGGGTCACTGGTTATCGTCTCAGGATTAGGTATAAAGTATGAGTCGTACCTCCTATCTTCCCATTACATCTGACTTCAGTTCTGGGACTTGTATCACCTAGTGCCTGTCTGTAGTAACTGAAACTGTGGTTAGCATTGGAGAGGGAGAGGAGAGATGGTGGGATCTCTCCCTGCCTGGCCTACTCGGTGCCGTAGAAATTGATCAGATTAGGGCTTTCCCTTCCCTTGAGAAGGAGAACAGAGGAAGTAGGAAGTGGTCAGAGAAGTGGACTTCTTGAGAGCCCCCCTTTCACTTAGTGTCCCACAGGGCTTTGTTTCTTTAGTTCCTCCGTTTTAAACTGTATGTGGAATTTCTCTGTTTTGACCAAATTTACTAAAATCTCTACATTCTTTTTTTTTTTTATCCTCATCTGAGGACATTTTTCCATTTATCTTTGGATAGAGCGGGAGGGAGAGAGGGAGGAAGAGAGGGAGAGAAACATCAACACGAGAGAGAAACGTCGAGTAGCTGCCACCCACACAACCCCTACTGAGGCCGGGGACAAACTGCAACCGAGATATGTACCCTTAGTGGGAACTGAACCTGAGACTCTCTGGTCTGTGGGCCGATGCTCCAACCGCTGAGCCAAACCGGCCAGGGCAAAACCTCTATATTCTTTTCCGAGCGATTCCTTGTATTCTTGTTCAATTATGTATTCATATTTTAACCTGATATTTGGACTAGACAGTCTTTTACTTATATTCTAGTGTCTGTGATTTGAATCCACTGATTAAGCAATTGTTACATGTGCACATGTATGTCTTAACCTAAAGCAGTTACATTGATATGTTAGAAGTTATGTAAAGGAAAGAGTGTAACTATGTAAAATATATACCTAATACATTCTTAGGATTGGGTTTTGGGGGATTAGTTTTTCTGGAGAGTAACCATGCTCTCATTTTTTATTAAAATCTTAGTGTATCTTTTCCCTTGACACCATTCAAAAGAGAAAAACATTTTGTAATAGGTTACATTTGTAAAGACTATATAATTACTGTGTATACCCTGCTGAACAGGAGCATTTGGTATCAGAGACTTTTCAAATGTTCTGAAGTTTTGTCAAAATAGATATGAAATCTGTTTCTGATTTTATCACATAGAATGCTTTTTTACTGATACCAATTTCCATGCAAATTCCTTTTTTCCTAAGATCGACAGAATTGATATTATACAGAATTGATATTATTTATTTCTTAAATGTTTATACAATTCACCAGCAAAACGGTCTGGTCGTGGAGTTTTCCCTGACTGATAATCGGAGTAGCTGAGGAATTCTAGGTTCAAGTGCACTGTCTCCAATATCTGAGAATTGCATCAGTGATTTCCAGCATCCACGGTTGCTGGTGAGACCGCCAATGCCGGTCTGTTCTTTCTCGTTTAAGAGTGTTTAGACATTGGTAAGATTTGCTTTTGAGTGGATATTGCAAATGTATACATATATGTTTACAAATAAGTTGCATCAAATCTATCTTTTTCCATTTGTATTTTTCAGACAATGAATGATTTTGACTATTTGAAACTACTAGGTAAAGGCACCTTTGGGAAAGTTATTTTGGTTCGAGAGAAGGCGAGTGGCAAGTATTATGCTATGAAGATTCTGAAGAAAGAAGTTATTATTGCAAAGGTAACTGAAATGTTTGTTTACACTGTACACATGTGTGTGGGCCCGTGCATATGCATGATTAGTGTACAAATGCCATTAGATTACCAAAATGTTGATTGCAGGCTACTGCTACAATATCTGTATATTAATACCTATAATATTAGAACTTTCAAAAGTTTATAATATTATCTGAATATTACATACTGAAGCTATTTTATTCCCTTGAGGACATAGAAATATTTATTCTATGTGTGTTTGGGAGAATGTTTTACTGAATATCTGTGACCTATATCGCTAATTATACTAATGTTGCTTTTTATTTTCCCCCCAACATTCTGAATTTCTTATTAAATAAGGGGAATCGAATAACATAGGTGATTTGTACTAATAAATTATACAGTTTATATTTGTTGAATGGAAAAGCATCCTTAATAAATTTGCAACTACGAGAATAATGAGACTTGAAGAGATGATAGTCTGAAATTTTTTCAGCAGGCCTTAATCCCCTCTCGTAACTTCAGTCACCTGGACAGGTAATTAACATGGTCGGGAGGCCAGTTCCCAGGGTTCTAAATTAAACCCCAATTCCCTCAATAGATACATCTGATATACTTTATAAATTGGTCCAAGCTTTATGTCTTGCTTAATTCAACAAGTGGCATATATTATTGTTACCTCTGTCGACTACCTCTTTCAGTTGTTTCCAGGACAACATCTCGCCTGCAGTGTGTCGCCGCCCACTTTGTGGGGTTCCACTCACGGTGTCTCCTCAGTGCCTGGTGGGAGGTGAACTGGGCCTGGGCTCACACACTTATGCCCCAGCTTTGCATTTCACCACCTGAGGACCTTTAGCAACCAGTGTTGGGGGGAGTGCCACTCTCTCAGGGACATTTGAAAATATTTGGGGAGGGGCACATGTGCTTATCAAAGTGACTCAGGGGAAGGGACAGGACTGACGTGACCAGGCAGAGGCCATGCCTGCTAATGTCTGCAGCATGTGAACGGCCCAAGAGAACCTTAGTTTTCTCCTTTGTAAAAATTGTGTTTGTGAAGAACAGTTTTCCTGGACAAGAATATTGTGTTGAATAGAATATGTAAAGGCTTCAGCCTAACACCTGGCACGCGTTATAATTAAACTGATATTTTTCTGTAGGCTCTGCTCCTTACTGAACAATCCCAAACCAGTCACTCAGCTGTCTCTGCCTTTGTTCCCTCCCCTGGAGAGTGAGGGTGTTAGAGTGTCTCTCACGGTGTCGTCCCCTCCCCTGGAGAGTGAGGGTGTTAGAGTGTCTCTCACGGTGTCGTTCCCTCCCCTGGAGAGTGAGGGTGTTAGAGTGTCTCTCACGGTGTTGTTCCCTCCCCTGGAGAGTGAGGGTGTTAGAGTGTCTCTCACGGTGTCGTTCCCTCCCCTGGAGAGTGCGGGTGTTAGAGTGTCTCTCACAGTGTCGTCCCCTCCCCTGGAGAGTGAGGGTGTTAGAGTGTCTCTCACGGTGTCGTCCCCTCCCCTGGAGAATGAGGGTGTTAGAGTGTCTCTCACAGTGTTGTCCCCTCCCCTGGAGAATGAGGGTGTTAGAGTGTCTCTCACGGTGTTGTTCCCTCCCCTGGAGAATGAGGGTGTTAGAGTGTCTCTCACGGTGTTGTTCCCTCCCCTGGAGAGTGGGGGTGTTAGAGTGTCTCTCACGGTGTTGTTCCCTCCCCTGGAGAATGAGGGTGTTAGAGTGTCTCTCACAGTGTTGTCCCCTCCCCTGGAGAATGAGGGTGTTAGAGTGTCTCTCACAGTGTTGTCCCCTCCCCTGGAGAATGAGGGTGTTAGAGTGTCTCTCACGGTGTTGTTCCCTCCCCTGGAGAATGAGGGTGTTAGAGTGTCTCTCACGGTGTTGTTCCCTCCCCTGGAGAGTGAGGGTGTTAGAGTGTCTCTCACGGTGTTGTTCCCTCCCCTGGAGAATGAGGGTGTTAGAGTGTCTCTCACGGTGTTGTCCCCTCCCCTGGAGAGTGCGGGTGTTAGAGTGTCTCTCACGGTGTTGTTCCCTCCCCTGGAGAGTGAGGGTGTTAGAGTGTCTCTCACGGTGTTGTTCCCTCCCCTGGAGAGTGCGGGTGTTAGAGTGTCTCTCACGGTGTTGTTCCCTCCCCTGGAGAGTGAGGGTGTTAGAGTGTCTCTCACGGTGTTGTTCCCTCCCCTGGAGAGTGAGGGTGTTAGAGTGTCTCTCACGGTGTTGTCCCCTCCCCTGGAGAGTGAGGGTGTTAGAGTGTCTCTCACGGTGTTGTTCCCTCCCCTGGAGAGTGAGGGTGTTAGAGTGTCTCTCACGGTGTTGTTCCCTCCCCTGGAGAGTGAGGGTGTTAGAGTGTCTCTCACGGTGTTGTTCCCTCCCCTGGAGAATGAGGGTGTTAGAGTGTCTCTCACGGTGTTGTTCCCTCCCCTGGAGAATGAGGGTGTTAGAGTGTCTCTCACAGTGTTGTCCCCTCCCCTGGAGAATGAGGGTGTTAGAGTGTCTCTCACAGTGTTGTCCCCTCCCCTGGAGAATGAGGGTGTTAGAGTGTCTCTCACGGTGTTGTTCCCTCCCCTGGAGAATGAGGGTGTTAGAGTGTCTCTCACGGTGTTGTTCCCTCCCCTGGAGAATGAGGGTGTTAGAGTGTCTCTCACAGTGTTGTCGCCTCCCCTGGAGAATGAGGGTGTTAGAGTGTCTCTCACAGTGTTGTCCCCTCCCCTGGAGAATGAGGGTGTTAGAGTGTCTCTCACGGTGTTGTTCCCTCCCCTGGAGAATGAGGGTGTTAGAGTGTCTCTCACGGTGTTGTTCCCTCCCCTGGAGAGTGAGGGTGTTAGAGTGTCTCTCACAGTGTGGTTCCCTCCCCTGGAGAGTGCGGGTGTTAGAGTGTCTCTCACGGTGTTGTTCCCTCCCCTGGAGAGTGCGGGTGTTAGAGTGTCTCTCACGGTGTTGTCCCCTCCCCTGGGGAGTGGGGGTGTTAGAGTGTCTCTCACGGTGTTGTCCCCTCCCCTGGGGAGTGCGGGTGTTAGAGTGTCTCTCACGGTGTTGTCCCCTCCCCTGGAGAGTGAGGGTGTTAGAGTGTCTCTCACGGTGTTGTTCCCTCCCCTGGAGAGTGAGGGTGTTAGAGTGTCTCTCACGGTGTTGTCCCCTCCCCTGGGGAGTGGGGGTGTTAGAGTGTCTCTCACGGTGTTGTCCCCTCCCCTGGAGAGTGAGGGTGTTAGAGTGTCTCTCACGGTGTTGTTCCCTCCCCTGGGGAGTGGGGGTGTTAGAGTGTCTCTCACGGTGTTGTCCCCTCCCCTGGGGAGTGCGGGTGTTAGAGTGTCTCTCACAGTGTTGTTGTCAGGAGTCACTGAATGAAAAGGAAGTGGGATAGCATTTGCCATCATTATGGAATAAATTTAGTTATATATTGAATAAAATAATTAAAATTGTATTAAATGAAAATGAAATATCATTGTTACACATATTTGCTGTGGTGGTTATTATTACCACCTTCTGTGGGTCGTGCATGAGTAAATATGATTTCCATGCTGTTTTCCGTTAGTGCACGAGCCTCACCTACATCCTGTCTTATCTCACTGATTATACTTCTCTGAGTAGCTGACAGAGCTGGGTGTATTTCACAAACGATGGGGTATTACAGCTCCTCGCTGCTTTTCCCCCGACAAACCCATTTATCAATTTCTTGAAGGAGAATATGCTTATTCGTAGTGAAATGATTAACACTATGACGTTTTAGAGTCTGACAAGACCTGGGGTTGGAGTCCGGAGTGCCCATCCCGGGAGTAACTGATGCCCATATGCCTTATTGCTGTTACGTGAACCTCGATCACCCGAGTAAACTGTGGTCTGCCAGGTTTCGCCATCGTGAAGCTGGTTGTTCCCTTCGTAATTAATAAATGTCTCAGAGCAAACCCTCTGCAGCTACACAAACACCCTTCTTCTTCTTAAACTGTTGCCCACTATTAAACATCTGTCAGAGGATCTTGTCTACAGCACCCATTACTGTGGTCTGCTAATGATGCTTTTCTGTTTCCCTCGTTCTTTATACATTTATTCTTAAGCTAACTAAAGGTTTGTCAATTTTGTTAATCTTTTCAAAGAATCAACTTTTGGTTTCATTGATATTTCTCTATTTTCTATTTTATTTATCTCGCTCAGATCTTTATTATTTTCTTCCTTCTGCTGGCGTTAGGTGTAGTTTGTTCTTTTTCTAGTTCCTTTAGTTGTAAAGTTTCTTGTGGATTGGGATCTTTATTTTAATCCTTACCCGAGGATATGTTTTTATTATTATTATTACTGATGTTAGAGAGAGAGAGACAATCATATAGGAGAGAAACATTAATCGGTTGCCTCCTACACACACCCCAATGGGAATTGAACCCTCAATCTAGGTATGTGCCCTGACCGGGAATCGAACCCACAACCTTCCAGTGTACAAGATGATGCTCCAACCAACTGAGCCACTCTGTCTAGGACTCTCTCTCTCTCTATCTCTTTTTAATGTAAAGGCTATAATTTCCCCCTTAACACTGCTTTTGCCGAGTCCCATACATTTTGGTATGTTGTGTTTTCTGTTTTATTTTAAAATTTTTCTATCAGTATTTTCTATTTTGATTTCCCTTGTGATTTCTTCTTGCGACCATTAGTTGTTAAAGAGTGCATTCTTTACTTTCCACACATTTGTGAATTTTTAATTGTTTCTTCTGTTTTGGATTTATAACTCTATCCCAGCATGGTTGGAGAAGATCCTTGTATGACGTTTATCTTTTAAATCAATTGACACTTCCTTTGTGGCATAACATGTGGTGCATCTTGGCAATATATCCCATATGCTCTGGATTTGAGAAGTCAGAGTGGAAGACTGTCACCACGTACGCTACACTGAGTGTGCAGGAAGTCACCAAGGGCACGAGTCCCTCGTGAGGAGAAGAGTCTGAGGACCGAGTGCTGGGGCATCAGAATAAGGGTTCGGAGATGAGGAATCAGCAAAAAGACTGAGAAGAGGTGACCACTGGAGAAGAGGAAGAGGAAGAGATTCTGATGCCCTGAACACCAGGCTTTCAGAGAAGAGAGTAGTCAGGCGTGTCAGCTGTTATTAATGGCTTCCATTCTGAGGAGGAAATAAGGTCACAGTTCGAAAGTGTGAGAGAGCGAGGTTGAGGTAAAGAGAGACAGCTTCATGAAACGCTCCTGGACTTGAAGTCAGGTAGCCTGGGCTCCAGTCCCAGCTCCGTAGCTAAGTAGGGAAGGTAACCTTGCAGGTGCTGTGTGTATTTCAGCACACGTGCAAGGCCTGCTACAGGGCCTGGGAACGTTTTGAGACAACCTTATTAGGAATGGAAGAGTAACTCAGTAGCCCCGAGTCAAAGGATCCTCAGAAGATTTAGCTGAGATTGGAGAAGAGATTATAATAGTGCTAGTCAATATGTTTGTGATTTTTTTTTTCTCTTTTGATGTGGAATATAGAGGTGAGCACGTGAGATTGATTTATTCCAGTACTAGAAATTGGAAGGGACAGAGGGAAAACAGGAATGTAGAGCAGGGCAGTGAGCACAAACAACGCACTCTGCGATTCAAGAAAGACCAGCTTCCGAGTGATGAAGTCGTGAGTGAAGTCAAAGGAACTCATGTAGCCCTCCATCGAAGTCACAGGAGCAAGAACACAGCTTCAAATAACAATACTTGAGAAAGGTGATGTCGTGTTTAAAGACAACAGAGAACAATCTTGCTTTCCTTTTCTCCATCAAGTTAAAAAAGTCTTTAGATAGGAGGATGGAAATAGAAATCAGGAAACGGAGAAGACAGAGCGACAACTGGAGAGCGGAGTGTTACTCGTCTGCACCTGGACCTGTGTGGGGAAAGTTAGAACCCCACAATGTGGGCCTGGTCAGGGTGTCTCGCCTGTGGGGAGACAAGTACTCGCTGCAAACATGGCTTAGTAAGACAGAGAACAAGTAACTAATGATCACTGGTAGTCGCCGTGGTTTAAGAACACATGTGCCAAGGTACAAACTTCTCCCCTTTTCCTGTTTCCTCGTCTGCTCCACTTCCTCCTTCAGGGATCATTTGTTGCTCTGATTGGACGAAGGAAATAGTTTAGACATGACACATCTTGATTCAACTAGTTTCTGATCGCCGGTCATGATAATCCTATGATCAAGGTGGAGAAAGTAATGTGGACAGACTTCAGGTGCCCGGTTGAGTAGATCCAAAGCCGTGTGAAGATGGCAGTGGTGTGACATGGAAATGACCATTGACGTGGGGCTTAGACATGGGCTCAGACTGGACTTGTCCCCTGCGGCTTGAGCAGTTTACCGTCTGTGAAACCTACCTGCTGAGTTGCTACAGGGATCAAAGGAGGTGACACCCTTAAGTCCCCGATAATGGAGTACAGATGTTCTCTTCCTCCTCTTCTGTGCTGTTTCCTGCTCCTTGTCTCTGCCCCCCCCCCCAAAACCCAGTTACCACACAACAGTAAGAGGGAGAGTTTTAGATTGTGTAGACAGAGGGAGGTGATAAATTGAAGAGGATTGAGAAAATAAATATGGGGGGACTATTGTTTTGTTTTACATTCTCAAGAAGTGAAATCTCATTCCCAGTAAAGATTCTTTCTCTGAAAGCAATTATATTTAAAAATTCATTATTTAGTATTTAACCATAGATGAATACACAGTCATGTGCCGCCTAATGGCGGTTAGGTCAGCGAAGGACCTGGTGGTCCCGTAAGATTACAGTGGAGCTGAGAAGTCCCCGTCACCTGGTGGCATCATAACGTCTAGCCCAGTGCGTTTGCGGTGATGCTGGTGTAAACACAACTACCGCCCTGCCTGTCCTATGAAAGCAGCAAGTAGAATCAGCCACAGTACGTAGTACTTGATAATACATGACTCTTACTGGTTTGTGTATTTACCGTATTATACTTACCACGGTTTTAGTGTGTTACTCTTTATGTAGCACAAATAGGTTTGCTGTAAAAAGGTAGCTGTTACACCAGCAGCAACCTCACCCGCCTCGTTTCACTACGCCTCGCGATGACATCGTTTTCTCTTGTGCCTGATTTAATCTAGTGTCGTTCTGTTCATCATGCCCCCTAAATGCACCAAATCCAATGCTAATGTTGCTAGTAAGAGACCATATTGAGCGATTGACCTGGAAGCAAAATGAAAAGTGATTAACGACCATGAGGGTGGAAGATCAGTGGCGGTTGGTCATTCCTCCCGGTTCAGGCCTGTCCGCGTCCCACCACGCTGCGGTCTTGAAGAACAAGAACAGTCTGCCCCAGTGAGCGCAAAGGGACCAATCAAGATTGGGGAAGGGCCTAAACCAGACATGGAGAAACTCCCAATGAACGGATTGAAGACCAGACAGAGGTGCACCCCATGCAGCACCATGAAGGTCACGGCCCAGGCCAAAAAAAACCAGTTTGTGATGCTGAAAGAGTAGACTGCTCCTGACTCGGGTGCTGGCTTGGCTGCTAGCTCGGGGTGGGGTAAGGATTCCGGAGCCTTCCTCGCCAGTGTGAACGGAGCGGGGAGTCTGCAGGGCTGCTGTGAAGGCCGCGGAAGGGTTTTCGGAAACGGCATAAGCTGACTGTGGAATACAGTTATTTGCCAGAGAAAATATTTAATATGGATGAAACCTCCCTATTCTGGAAACTGATGCTTAAAAGAACTTTCATTCAGAAGCAGACCCAGTAAGTGCCAGGTTTCAAGGCTTTTAAGGACAGGGTGACAGTCTCGTTTGGGGCAACGTTGCCAGCTGGGAATGGAAACCGTTTGTGACCTGGCACCGTGAGCCCCGGGGCCTTCCAGTGGCACACACGCCAGTGAACTACGGGAGCAGGAAGTCATGGGTGACCCAGCTCCTCTTCCAGGCTGTCCTCCTGAATTGCTCTCTAGCGAAATCGAAGGAGGATGTTTGGGAGCATTTATCAACAATAAGCAAATTCTTGAAAGGTATCTTTTTTGGTGATTTTTGGTGATATACTTTGATTAAATATGACTCAGTTTATATGAATTTATATCTTATAGCCATCTGATGTAAGTCATATTTTATTTTATTTTATTGGAGTAGCAGAAGCTCAGCAATAAAGGGAGCATGTCACCGTATTATAAAGACTTTTTCCGTCTCTAGGTTTTACCTCTTCTGGTCTTAGAGAAATGGCGACTTTTTTTATTGTTAGTGCTTAGGACACATATTAAAGGTTTGCCTTTTTCTCTTGTAGGATGAAGTGGCACACACGCTCACAGAAAGCAGAGTATTAAAGAACACGAGACATCCCTTTTTAACAGTAAGTGACGAGAGGACAGATGTTATCATCATAACATTTCAACTTTAAGCGAGTTTTCCAGAACTAAGCTAAGAAAAATAACATTCTAAGTAACATTCATTTAGGTGTGCCATTTTCTGTGTGGGAAGACTGTAAATAAGATGTCTTTGAAATTATCTGGATTAGGGATTACATTTGCAATATGCCTGCGTTTGTAACCCTCCCATTAGGCCCTTGCTACTTCTGTGAGATTGTTTTTTCTCCCATGAATTTCACTACCTTTAATACAAAATTCATACAGCAAATAAACACCTATGGCATTTTAAGGAGACCACTGAGAAAATGGTAGACTTAACCAAGGGTCTACTAAGAAGTTTAGTAGTAGTAAATGTAAGGATTTTGTTTCTATGGTTTATTGGCTTCTAATAAGTATATAACTGATCAGGCAGCATTGTCTTTGAATATGAAAGGCAGAAATCTTTACTGAATTTTTTTTTGTAGAGATTGGACGTCTTTTAGTTATAGAATACTTTAAGAAATACAGGGATACTGAATACATTAAATTAAAGATAGGATAAGTCATGATATTTCTTCACTAGACGTATAAACTGTGACTTACTTAGTTGTTATGAAACAAACTGATTTTCTTAGTCCTGTTCCTAGTTTGATTGTAATTGAGGCATAATTTGCAAAGTGTCTGTGTACTTCTGGTTTTAGTGAAGTATATTAAGGCAAAAAAAAATATATAGCAGCTAGATTTTCACAAGGAGAAACCTTCTAAAACTTTAGGATTACCTAAAGTAGGAATTTTCGGAGGTATCACTAGATGTCGGGGTTAAATGTTGTTACATTGTTATGTGTTTTTTGTCTAGTGTATTAAGATAGTTCTAATGTCCTGATATTTTTATGACCTATAAAATTACACGAACCAATTCCATTGGATTGGTTCATATTATATTCTCTTATGTAAAAAGTTATGTTGTAACTATATTAGATCTCCAAATATGACTACTATGCCTATATTCCTTAGACTTCTACTAGAGTAATTTGTCGGCCTCACTTGAAGGTCACGTGGATAAGAACTTTGGGGACCAATACAATATGAATGGATGGCACACTAGATTGAGAAGTGCTCATCACAGTTTCTAAATTAATTTTTACTTAAAATTTAATTTTAATGTTTCCCCTAACAATACCCATTGCTGATCTAAACAAAATTTGTTTTATGTTTCTCATAAACTCTTAAGCACTTTTGGGGAGTAAGTAAATAGACTCGTAAGGAATGATAATCCATTTCATCAGTCATGCTTACTGTTTCTAAGTGCTCTGTTTTGGTACCATTATAACGATGTAGGATTATAACATAACATTTTTTCTTTTTCATTTCAAGTCCTTGAAATATTCCTTCCAGACAAAAGACCGTTTGTGTTTTGTGATGGAATATGTTAATGGGGGCGAGGTGAGTCATCAGCAAGCCCGGCATTGGCACCTGTGTGGTAATGTGTCAGTCCTCTCGGAGTGATTGAAATGTAACTTACAACATGTCCCTTCTCTGCTTCTTGGTAGGGATCTGTGTCGCTCTTTCTACTGTAGAGTACGTGGGAGTCGAATAATTCCTAATGTAATGTCATGACTGTTTATTTTTTAATAGCTACTTTTATATATTGCCAAATGTAATCATAGTCTACATTTCTCTATATTTTTCAAGTGTAAAAATGTTTACCAAAAGTAAAATCATGAAGTCGTGTTATTTAATTTTAAAAATTAGAAACATAGGATTTATGATGTGTTAAAAATTCTTAAGGTTTTGTGAAACTTACAAAAAATTATTTTGCTCATTTTAGACTCAGTTGAAGAATTGTGACCGAGTTGTCTCTTCCGTGTAGTAGCCTTGACTATATTTAAGAAATTGTAAAGGGTCTTGCAGTTTCAAAGAGAAATTCAGTTAATGGTATATTTCACCCATTCCCTCATCCTTTTTTGTCCTTGTTTTGCTCAAAATCAGTGTGAAAATCATCATTTACTGGAATAGTTAATTGGAAATATTTCACATTGTAAGCTCTCTGAAGTAGATTTAAATTTAATAAACAGGGATTTATATCACATGGACTTTAAAAGTCTTACTTTCCAGAATCAATGAAATATCCTGTATAGAGTATTTTCTCCTGTGCAATTATGTGACTTGTAGGAATTAGTTCATTGCAGAAATTTACTTCTTCATTTGGGAGCACAGTTGCAGTGCCGAGGCGGAGTGGGTTCATCATGATGTTTTAAGACACCACCCTTTCTATGAAGGAGTTTATCATTGATCGTATTATGTTATAAATTAGAATATATGATGAAAGAGCTCAGTGCTAATAAATTCATAAAAAAATGCTTTATGGGTGATCTAGCACTTAGGGTAGGCCTTAAATGAGATCTCAGCAGGGGAACTGGTTCGAGAAGATATTCCAGGCAGAAAGGGTGATGTGAGCAGTCACCGGTGGGTGAGCACCAGTGGGTGAGTGAGAACTTGAGGAGTTGAAGTAGCAAAATGTATTTTTGTTGCAATTAGAGAGAATTAATTGATACAGTAAACTTACGAATACTGTGTTGAGGGTAAGATTATAAATTAGTTTTAAAAAGGTTTTTCTTAAGGTTCCAAGAAAATACATGTGTGGAAATATCACAGAGCATAAAAATAAGGGGTCGGAACTATGGATACAGATTTGGGAGCCATTCCCATAAAGGTGATGAATTAAGTTGTGGAGGTGGATGTTTTCTGTTTCATGGGGATTAAATTGATGAGACCTCTGGGTTAGTATCTATCAGAATTAAAATGCATGTGTTCTTGGACCTGGTCATTTCCCTTCCTAGAATTTATCCTAAAGACATATTTACAAATATACCAGAATGATATATAGAGAAATATATTTATTGCAGCATTCTGATACCTTAAGTGAACATTCATTAGGGTAATGCTTTAATATATTGTGTTATGTTTATGCAGTGGAATTTCTGTTGTTGTTAATCTTCACCTAAGGATATTTTTTTATTGATTTTTAGATAGAGTGGAAGGGAAGGAAGGAGAGAGAGAGAGAAACATTGATGTGAGAGAGACACATTGATTGGTTGCCTCCCGAACTACCCCTACCTACCAGGGCCGGGGATCAAACCTGCAAGTAAGATACATGCCCTTGACCAGGAATCCAATCCAAGACCCTTCAGTGCACCGGCCGATGCTCTAACCGCTGGGCAAACTGGCCAGGCTGCAATGGAATACTATATCCATTAAAAAGAATGAGGCAGCTCATTATGGGCTGATACAGAACAATTCCTAAGGTAGGTTATGAAGTGAAAATAAACAGTGTAGACAGATTATAAAGCAAGCTACCACTCATTGTGTGAAAAGAAAGTAAGACCACATCCATGTTTGTGTGTACATTGACTAGCTCTACAGTTACACACTGGGCATCAGTGCCTATCTCTGGGAAGATGAATTCAGTGGCTGGAAGAAGACTTATTTTTCACTTATGTATTCTTGTGCAGCTTTTATATTTTCTACCACAGATATATGTTATCTATTTAAAAATTTGAAGGAAGGAAGATAGGTAGGTAGACACATGGATGGATGGGTGGATAGATGGATGAATGGATGGATTGATAGATGAGTAAATGACCAGAGGAGAAAATAATAAAGGGAAAACTACAAACTGCAGCTAAATCTTGGAGAAACACTCTTGAATTGGAGAAATTCCCTTACACAGTATCACGTGTTTACATCTGTTATAATTATCACATTGTTTCGCAAGGACCTATTTCCATGTCTGGTTTTCCCACTAGACTCTGAGCTCCCTACAGGGCTTGTTCATCAACATACCCCAGCACTTTACACACTACCTGGCACATGGCAGGAACTTGACAAATATTTATTGGATGGTTTGAGGGAATAAATAAGGGAATGGATGAACCAGTTTCCTTGGGCAATAAGGATAAAAGAAGCTAACAAAAGTGATAAAGTAGGAAATTCTAGGAAGTAGGAAGAAGAAAGGGAAGTAATGTACTGTATCGTTAATTGTAGGGAAAAAAGTTAAAAAGTTTTCTTCAGGCGGGAGTATCTTCAAATGTGCTTTAAAAATGCATATTTATTAAGTCTTTGTGCAAGGCACGTTGGTGGACATTGTGGGGCCTACAAATCTGAATTAAACATAGATCGTGCCCTCAAGGAGTAGCAAAGATAAAGAACAAAATTACACTAAGTAGAAGGTGATAACAATCACAGGTACTGATTGATGGCCTTGGGGCCGCACAGGAGCGGAAGTTTTGGGTGGGGGAAGAAGGGAGGCTTCCTAGCGGGAGCGAGCTGGGTAGGACCTGCACTTTAACTCTAAACCTAGAGCACTTATGCAGTTAATTAATTGAAGGTTATTGAAAAATTTTACACACAAAAGCAGATTTTCAGACTAGCCAGATGGTTTTCTTGAGCACTGAACCTCCTACATTATTTCTCTTGTTTGGCATTTCTCTTTTTTCAGAATTTCAGTATATATGTGATGAAAATTCAATTATTTCCACTTATACAATTTTAGTAAAAATGAAAGTTCTGTGTATGTACTCTCCCAATTTTTTATTCTTTCAGGTTATCAAACATACTTATATATTTTAAGTGTACTTCATAAATACAAATAGTTATTTAATTGGTGAGACTTAGTGGGATTATTTCAGTTCTTAGATTTATCATTTCTGGGGAGGAAATCTGTTAGGCAATCAGTGGCGATTTACTTCCTTCTGGCTTTGCCTCAGCTTCACCATGTCATTTACTCTGCCCAGGGAACAGATGCAGAAAACTCAGTTGCTGCAGAAAAAAGACTAAGCGTGGCGCTTAGGTTTTGAAATAAGGTTGAAATGGAAGTAAAGGGAAGCTATCGACTCACACATACAATCCACAGCAACACCTGGAGGCAGTGGTGCATCATGGGAGGATTTCTGTAAGAAAGTGTTGGAGCCCTGGCTGGTTTGGCCTAGTGGTTAGAGCGTCGACCCGTGGACCAAAATGTCACGGGTTCGATTCCAGTCGAGGGCAGGTATCGGTTGCGGTTCATTCCAGGCCTTGGTCAAAGCCGTGCGGGAGGCAGCCAGTCGATGTGTCCCTCTCACATCGATGTTTCTCCCCCGCCCCTTCTCTCTCCCTCCCGTCCACTCTATCTGAAGATAAAAAGAAAAATATCCTTGGGTGAGGATTTAAAAAAAAGTGTTTGAGAGAGAATACCTTGCAGCAGCAGCATGGACTGGAGAAGACGGAATTGGAAACTACTTGGGAGACCACTGCCCTGGGGAAGGTTTCTGTAGTCAGTTCCGAAAACGGTGAGGTCAGGAGCTGAGACAGTGCTAGTGAGAAGGAATCAATTCTACTGATGTTTAGGTACCAGAGTGTCCAGCACCTGATGACGAAATAGGGAAGTAACATCGGACAGCGTCTGTTTGCTGCTCGGGGAGCTGTGTGGACACTGCCTAGCCAGAGGGACAGGGACGCCGGAGGAATGATTCCGGGTGATCGTCCTCCGTCCGAGGCACCCAGTGGGGATATCGGGGCGTAGGAAAGTTAGAGCAGTGCTGAGACCAAGGGCGTGGAGAAATGTCAGTGTGAGGAAAGTATCCGGAGTCAGAACACTGTTGGTCAGGAATGGTCCCTGGAGATACCAACGTCAGACATGTGGGTCCTGCGAGAAGCTAAGGAAGATCCTGGGCAGAAGGAGTCAGGTCAGAGAAGCCTTGGCAGCCAGGTCCAGTGCGTTCAGTATAAGGGTGTAGTCAGTCTGCCTGCAGGAGGATGATGGGAAAATCTCCATTGCATTGGACAGCTCCTCCTCGTTCCTTAGCAGAGTACCAGGGGTTCTTCCTTTTTCCTGGGGGGATACAGGGTGTGCACCTGGGTTGTAATGGAGAATGTACAAGGGTTGGTTTGGAGCTCAGTAGAACAAGGTTATGAAAGTGAGTTTGGCCCTGGCCGGTTTGGCTCAGCGGTTGGAGCATCGGCCTGCGGACCAGAGAGTCCTGGTTCGGTTAAAAAAAGAGAGTTCAGCGCAACCTTAGTTGAACAGTAAATCAAGATTTGTAGAAAAAAATTATAAAATCACACCGCTGCTCACATGCCCAGGCCAGTCTCTTTGTAGCTTAGGTATTACCAAATTCATGTGAGCAGAAAAATATTCTAGGGGGACAGTGGACATGGAAAGCCCGCTGAAGTGTTGCCATCGTCTAGTTTGGTTTAGAACGTCTCCACCTAGGACTGTCCCCAGACTCTCTCTCTCATTGTATTTCTCCTCGGCCTATGAATCAGGCCTCTGACTCTGAAGGCTGAAATCTCCTGGAAGTTTCGAGATTCGTTAGGGGGTGAGGGGGTAAAGGAAAATCATTGTGTGGAAATGTTGTTCATCTGATAAATTCCTCACATTCTTCTTTATTCTTTATGTGGGTACA